TTTGGGAAGATTTTCAGTAGCCGACTTCATGGGAATATTTCGGCCGAATCCCTTGGAGTTATGAGGAGATTTTTGGTGGTAATTGAAGAGGACATTGTGGGCTTTCCAACTGTATCCAAATCCGGCGGTCTTGGTGGTCGGAAGCTGCCCGAAAATCGACTCAAAAATCGCCCAAAAAATTTGAAAATTCAGTGATAGTTTGTGAAAGAAATTTAAACTTCAGTGGTCGTTTCTACAAGTTTTAAAATTCAGTGAACGTTTTTTGATTTTTAGGTAACTTCAGTGACCATTTGTGAAATTAACCCACTAAACTTTTTCAAACCACCGCTAAATTTACAATCCCACGAGGCACGACGATGAGTATAGAATGATGATATGGTGCAGGCTGTAAATATCTGTGTCGCAATTCATGATCTTTATTTTCAATAAGATTGATATTTTAAAACAGAGTATATTGAACCGAGCCATACCAAAATTGATCTTTTAAAAGTTACATTTTATAAAGCGTATATTTTTTAATTTTTTTTCTAATTTCATTTATAGAATAATTAAATTTTCAATCATTATTTAAATATGTCTTTTAACAATTAAAGTATTTATTAAATTTAAAGCAGTCATTATTGGTGATTATTTAGGATATTCAAATTTTCGAAATTAACTCTATTATAAGAATATAATCGTGGAATTTATGTACTTCTCGTATTTATATATTTGAGAGAATCTACAAGTCGTACAACATGGAAAAGGTTTATCAATTGAAATAAATAACAATAATATTTTTATTAATTTGTTTATTCGTGTTTCTTCCTCTTAATTGTTACGGAACTTTTACGATTTTAAACAGTTTTAAAATTTGAATTAGATCGATCGATTCAATTGAAAAATTGATTAGTCGAATCATAAACTAATCCAACTAATGTTGCAGGCAAAGTTTAAATTGTAATTTAAACAAGTCGAACACAATTTTTATTCATACATTATATAAATCCACAACTTATTATCTACTTCACATTCATACATTACATATAACTGACTCCTTATAGGCTTAAATTATAATTTAAACCCTCCAAAACTGTTAAAGTTCTAAGAAACATACTATCTTCCAAATAATGAATTTCCAAATTACATTTCTCTTGTTCTTGTAACTGTTATTATCACCTTGTATTATAAATCTTCATTAAAATTTTATCAACAGTTTGAACTTCATTTTTTACACGTACTTCATATTATTCCAAACTTTTATCAATTTTTTCAACTTATCGATATGATAGATAATATTCATGTCGATGGTCTACTCATTGAACCATTGACCGCATATTTCGGTTCTATGATCGGGTCGATTGTTGTCAATATCTCTTTAAATCACACGTGTCACAAGAAGGAAGAAATTTAATTAGAGACTTGACTCTTTTGAAGATCTATGTTGCTCTTCTCTTCTCTCTACTCTATGCACAACTTAAATTCTTAAATTATTCTCGGTAACTCTGTGGACAATAAGAGTTTTTTAAAAGTTTGGTTGACAGACCTCGAAAAGTGGTTCTGACACGTGGTCAACAGAACAAATCTTCTAGTCAGCTCCTACCTGCACACATAGCACGCTGTTAGTCACCCGTGGCCTTTCCCGGAGGGGTTGGGAGCGGCCGCGAGCATTCAAACGGTCAAGTCAGTTTAAGATTCAATCGGAAAAGGTTCACCGACGATATGACACTTGTCGAGAAATGGTTGATAAAGTGTGTAGTGATAAAATGTCAATATTTAAGGGAGAAGATAATACTCAAATTTACTATGTAGTAGGAGAAAATCTTGATCTGAATCCTTCTTCGGCACAAGGAGGGAACCTTTATACTAAGGATGTGGATATGAGAGTCATTGGATGAGGAAACACGTGTTACCAGATCCTCAGGGCTCATCCCATCTTAGGTGTCAATTTGCCCCTCCATAGGTTGGCTAGCATTGAATGTCACTGACAAAGGCAGCTGAATAGACCGTTTAGGTCCTACTACACATCTCATCAGTCAGGGATTTGATTTTGGAAAGATCTTCGTACAAGAGATCTTTGGTGGGGCTAGGTGAGGCAGGTTAAGCGTTGCAGCTTGTAGAAGCGGAATGCTGGCCTTTACATC